CCCCATCGCGCGCTTCGTGGCCCCATATCGTGGGGCGCCGCCGAAGGTCCCAGCGGCGCCGTCCGCGCGCGCCCCCGCTTTTTATTTCGGCAAGCACCTCGCGCGCTCCGCGGCCCCGCGGGGAGCTTCGCCGAAGGCCCCGGCGGCGCGCCGCCGCGGCTGACCCGGCCCGCGGCCGACGTTGGAGGCGCGCGCGGCAGGCGCCCGATGATTTCGGAGGGCCGGGCGAAGACGCCCTCTTCATCAAGAAGGTCAAAGGGCGCGCCGCCATCAAGGACGTCAGCGAGGGCATCATCGCGCGGCGGGGCCGTCGCGGCAACGTTGATGCCGACAGGTGAGCAAAGCGCGTGGCGGAGACTCTCAGAGCCCTCGCGGGGGCCCGCGAGGCTCGCGAGCGCGGGGGGGGCCACCCTGGGCGAGTCGGGCCAGCAACGCGGCGGCCCAACTCCGCGCGGTCTTTGACGATCGCCGCGCGGAGGTCAAGAGGAGGTCGCCCCTCAGCTTCGCAAAGCAGGACCCCAATCAACATCTAGAACGGCGGCTTCCACTGCAGGCGCTGCCCGCCCGCGGCGCGGTCGGGGCAGGGGTTCAGGAAACTGCTCTCGCATCCGTGCCGCGAGATGGCCGTCGCCCCTGACGTTGGCGGGATCACGCGCAAGCCTGGCGTCTCTGCACCACCTGCAGCGGGCACGGCGGCCGCGGCGCTGGCGACGGCGAAGAGGCTGGGGCATGAGGAGGGCCAGAGGCAGCGGTGGCCCGAGGCCGCCGCCTCCTCCGCCGGCGCCAGCTCGCCCGTCAGCGCGCCCCCAGGAATGCTTTTGTAAAAGGCCAGCGCCCCGCCCTGGCCTGGGGGCGGGGGGCCGCGAGAAGGGCCGGCAGGCCTACGAACGAGGCCGCCGAGGCGGCCGACGGACTCCAGGGCTCCGGCGTCGAGGGCCTCGCGGACAGCCGCGACCTGGAGACGGCCGGCGGCTGCATCTGCGAGCGGCGCAGGCAGCTCGGCGGGGCTTGCCCGCCTGTGGCCAGGGCCCCCGGCACTCCCGCCTGCGCAAGGTCGAGAACATAACGGGCGGGCTGGGTCCCAGGGCCAGCGAGCCGCCGAAGAACCTTGTCACTCTTCATTAGCAGGTGCGCTTCTCAGCGTTGATGCTCGCGCGTGGCAGGCCCTCTCAGCCACTTGGGCGCGTGCTGGCTGTGTCTTTTCGCGGCCCTGCGGCCGCCCGACATGGGCCCCCTGCCTGCGCGGCACTTGCGGAGGTCGGCGCGGCTGCCGCCTCGGGTGATCTCGCTGGGGCTCGCTCGGACGGACGTCGCTTGCAGCGAGCGCCGCTCCGGCCATGACAAGCAGGTCCACGCGGCTCTGTCCGCGCGCATCCCCGCCGCCCCATTCGGCGCACCCCTCGCGCGTTTCGCGGCGCCGCGGCTCCACCGAAGGCCCCGGAGGCACCGCCCGCACGCGTCCCCGCCCCGCATGTCGGCGCAACCCTCCCACATTTCGTGGCTCCATCGGGAGCTCCTCCGAAGGTCCCAGTGGCACCGTCCACGTGCGTCCCCACTCCATTCCAGTGCGCCCATCGCACGCTTCGTGGCCCCACAGGGAGCTCCACCGAAGGTCCCAGTGGCAGCGTTCGCATGCGTTCCTGGCACGCATTTCGGCACGCCCACCACGCGCTTCGCGGCCTCATAGAGAGCTCCGCCGCAGGTCTCAGCGGCCGCGCCCGCGCGCGCCCCCGCCGCCCATTTCGGCTAACATATCGCGCGCCTCGTGGCCCCATATGGAACCTTTCCGAAGGTCCCAGCGGGGCCGTCCGCATGCGCCCCCGCCGCCCATTTCGTTGCACCACTCACGCGCTGCGTGGCCCCATATGGGGCTTCTACCGAAGGCCTCAGCGGCGCCGCCCGCGCGCCCCCGGCCCCCGCCACCCGCCCAGCACGCCCTTCGCGCGCTGCAGCTCCAAAGGGAACTTTGCCGAAGGTCCCAGCGTCGCCGTCCGCAGGCGCCCCCGCCATTCACATTCGTGGCCCATAAGGAGCTCCACAGATCTGGTCCCAGTGGCAGCGCTCGCATGCGCCCTTGGCGCGCCTGTCGGCACGCTCCTCGCGCGTTTGATGGCCTCAGAGAGAGCTTCTCCCCAGGTCTCAACGGCGCCGCTCGCGTGCGTCCGCGGCGCCGCCCATTCCGGCGCGCTCCTCGCGCGCGCAGGGGGGCTCCACCGAAGGTCCCAGCGGCGCCGTCCGCGCGCGCTCCCGCCACCCACGCCGGCGCGCTCCTCATTTTTTCTCATGCCACATGGGGGGCTCCACTGGAGGTCCCAGCGGCGCCATTCGCGCGCATTCCCGCCACCAATTTCAGCGCGCTCTTCACGCGCTTCGTGGCCCCATATGGAGCTCCACCGAAGGCCCCCGCTCACGTCTGCATATGCTTGGGCTCTTCGTCAGGAGGCGCGGGCTTCAATGCGAGCCCTCGCGAGCTCGGCGGAGGCGAGTTTGCGCGGGAAGCCGGGGGCGCCCATGTCGTGCCAGAAGGGCGCGCGCATTTCGGGGAAGGGCCGCATCCTCCTTAGATCACTATGTTTTTCGCGCGGCACCAGAGGGAACCATCGAGTCGCGCGAAGTCAGACATGGCGCGACTCTCAGCCCACATCGCCCATCAAGCCCCCCCTGTCAGAATGGAAAGAGTCAGTTGCAGGAGCCCCCGTCCCGCGCTTGCGTCGGCCGCCTTTGGGCCCAGACATTTCTCGCACTCATGGAAGCGCGCCCGATTGATTGCAGGGCGGGCAGCTGGCTGCGCCTGGGATGGGCGCGCCGAGGGGGCGGCCTCGCTTTTCCACCCGCGCCGCGCTTCCAGGACCGACATGGCTGGACAGGGGCTGTTTCCCATCCTGGACGTGGGGCTGCCCGCCCTCGGGGCGAGGTCCAAGGGGCCGCTGCTGGTTTGAAAGAAACTCTGGGGAGGGACAACCATGCTAGGGGCTCGGATTTGTTCTTGGCGAGGTGGCTTAGCTGGCAGTTCGGGGCCCCGGTCAAACTTTGGGAAACTTTGGGAGTGGAACCGAGTCGATGGGGCGCGGGCAGGCGCGCTTGCGTCTTCGAGTATAGCGCCTCCCCCGCCCATTGAGGTGCATGGCTGATCGTTGCCGACGCCATTTCGAGTTGAGAGCGGCCGCTTGCGCGCGCGCGCGGAGGCCGTGCTCCGACTTGCCCCGGGACAGCAGCCCCGCCAGTTTCACGAGGTTCTTGCGGGCGCTGAGAAGGTTGCGGCCCAGGCCAGCAGCCAGGTGTGGCAAGCGTGGATTAAGGAAGGTATAGACCAGTGGGCCAAGAGATGACACGCGTGCACGAGGGGCCCCACCCCTTGGAGAGCAATTGCTTCGCTGTCGTCTTAAGGGTCCATTATCTCTGACCCCCTTGCGCTCGCGTTTGGTGACGGTTTCAAGTTTCCCGTTTTCTTGAGACCAAAGTGGGCAGTGGCCAGCGCGGCGGTCGCTGGCCACTTCTCTCCCCCGTCTGAGCGCTGAACGTATCAGGAAATCCTTTTGCAAATGCGAGGAGTGGTCGTGTGTTTTATGTGGCGGAGTCAATTGCAGGCTCCTTCAGCATCTCTGCGACGAAGCGTTAAAAACGCTCGCACAAGTCATTGGAGCCATGGAAGCCGTTGGTCAGCTTCTCCCTCAGATCTCGGCTGTTATGATTCGAGCCCTGCTAGCGGGTGCAGACTTATGGGGGGGGGTCTGCTTCTGACACATGCTGTAGGGTCGGCGTCGCCGACCCCCTGCTTTGTCCCAGGACTTGGGACACCCCCGCAGGCACTAGGCGGCTTCCGCGCATCGAGGTGCGTCAGACGCAGCGTGGAGACAGAGCGCCACGGCTGAACGCGGCACGTGGAGCAGAGGTCCCCCGTCCCGTCGCATATATTATGGCACGTGTAGATATCGCGAAACCGTTGACCTTGGCATGCTTGAGCTGACATGTGTATGTTTCAACCGCCCCACCCCCACTGCGAGGCAATGCATGTTTGCGTTCAGATGTGACAGGTTTTTCTCTCAGCGGCCGTTCTTTCGTTCAAAGAGGAGCGGTGGCGGGGCGCAGTTTCGCCGCCGCCGTCGCCGGGCCCATAGGGATGGACGCTTCCAGCTCGGTTCCTCTGTCGCCGGGCATGGGCATTGACATGTATATGGATATTTCGGGGCTGTCTGCCGTCGGCCCGAGAAATGCGGTCATTGAGTCTCCTGTTGCGGGGCTCCTTGCGCTGCGTAGTGCCATCGCGCTTTGGAGATGGCGCGCGCGGCGTCGTCGTCGTGGAATGTCGGCCTGGGGGTTGCCGACTAGTCTGCGTCGCCGGCAGGGTCGAGGGCGCCGCCGTCCACTTAGGAGTCGATTTCAATCTGAGGAAAGTCGTTTGATATCAATGCAGGCCCTGCAAGTTGAAGGCTAGATTCGCCCAGATGGGTCGTGGAACCAGGCGTCAGAAAGGGTCGGCCGTGTGCCCCGGGGGCGGGGAACTTCGGATTTGTTGCGGCTGGCCCGTTATCGGAGGGAGCTCGCAGCGCCGGCGCTGCCGGGGCCATCGTTGGCGACTTGCTCGAGATGAGGAGACAGGCGCTTGCGCGGCTTAGGCCGCCAAGTCGCGCGGCCCCGTTGCCTGCTGCATGATTTCTGACGGTCTCCTTTAGGCGGGCTGCGACAGCTCCAGTCCTCAGGCGGGGCTAGGAAATCTAGCTCGCGCCGGCGAGTTTGTCCGGGCTGTCTGAAGCATTCGGAGCTTAGGGGCCGCGGGTCTGCTGCGCGGCAGCCCCCGAGGCTCGCGCAGGGCACCGTTGCGGGCCGCATCTCGGCGCCGAGGCTCACTTCGCTCAGGCTTGGTTGCAGCCTGACCAGGTACTGCGCGATCAGGGGCTATGGGATCTGCGAGATTCCGCCGGCGGCGAAGTCGCCTGCGTCGCTGGTCTTTTTTTTCTGCTGCATGCGAAGCGCTCGGGGGACCTCGGAGGTGAACGGGGGCGGGCGGCTTGCAGGCCGTGTCTGGATATGCCGGCGGCCCCTCTCGCTCTTTTTGTTGTTCTCTCTCTCTCTCTCTCTCTCTCTCTCTCTTTCTTCCTCTTTCTTTTTTTTTTTTCTCTCTCTCTCTCTCTCTCTCTCTGTCTCTCTCTCTCTCGCTCTCTCCCTCTCTGTCTCTCTGTCTCTCTCTCTCTCTCTCTCTCTCTCTCTTTGTTTCTCTCTCCCTCTATCTATATATAGTTATGTGTCTCTTTCTCTTTCTATTTCTCTTACTCTTTCTTTTTTTTTGTTCTTCTTTTTTTTTCTCTCTCTCTCTCTCTCTCTCTCTCTCTCTCTCTCTCTCTCTCTCTCTCTCTCTCTCTCTTTCTCTCTCGCGGAGAAGGGCTTCGTTCGCGCCATGGCCTGCGCGGCGAAATGGGCCCCGGGCGCGCCTGGGCGCGCGCCGTGATTGCGGCGATCATCGCGCCGATTTGGCGGGGGCTTGGATTTTAGAGCACGACGCCGGGGCCGAGAGTTACCCGGCCAACCCGGTCGCCACGAGGCGTGCGCTCGCCCTGCCGCTGAGCTCCCTCGCCTGCGCCTGGGCGGCATTCTGGTGGCTCCATGACTTCCTTGAGTCCCCCGAGGGCCTCCTTAGACCTTGCGATGGTGAGGTCTGAATGGGGGGAGGGGCGTTCCTGGGCGGCTCTTGCCCGCGCCATGTCGTCAAGGGGCACAGCGGGGCCTCGCGGGCCACTGCGGCGCGCGAGCCCACCTGGGACCTGGTCGGGGAAGTCGGCCCAGTGCCCCCAGACTCCTCAAGCCGGGAAGTATTCTGCTACATGCACGCGCGGACGCATGGGCATGTCCCCGTCTACCCTTTGTTCGGATTGCTTGAAGTTTGCGCGCCAGTCCAAGTCGCCGCTTCCGGCGTGGCTGTCCAGCAATAGGGCCCACAGTGGGATTTTGCCAGAAGCCAATGCCAGGGTCGGCCCCTGCATGATAGACGCGGTGCTGCCCGCGAAGACCGCGGTGAAGCAGGCGACGCGGAGCTGGACCTGTCTCGCAAGACGCGACACAGCGCTGTCGATGCCGCTGCCGCGGCGGCGCTGAGTCTCCATCCTGTCGACCCACAACATGTTTAGACGAGGTAGACCGACGAGACGTCGTGGCCAGAGCTGTCTGCAAGCTCGCGTCGAAGGTTATCCTGGACTGGTTGCGCGGTGACTGCGCGCGGCTAGTAGGGGCCCTCGTCCTCCCCCCAAGCTCTCTCATGACAAGGTCAGCCATGAGTGGGCCCAGTGGTCTGGTTTGTGGAGGTGCTAGTTTTCCTTCGGAGGTTGCGGATGTTTGAGGTGCTCGGCCCAGGGGGCTGTTCTGGCGGCAGTAAGTTAAACGAAGGGGCCCCGGTGTCACTTACGCACGAGGTAGTCGCTTGCTCGTGCGGTGGCGGATCACGTGCCACCAAATGCCGCCATCGCAGTTCGGGGGCCAGGATTGACAGCTCAGCCAGGCGGCGCAGAAGTGAAGCCACTTGGGATGTCCAGCTCGCTAGGGACAACCTTGGCAAGGGAGCCCCCCCAACCCTCCCAAGTCAAACGCTGAAGTGGACGTGCACGCCGCGGCTGACATTTTCGGGTCAGGCCCTGCTGCCAGTTCAGAAGGTCAGGGGCCTATTCGGGTCAAGGGGGCTGGGCCCCCGATATCGCCCCAAGACGGACCAAGAAACCCCCCAGAGGGTTTGAAGACGGCCCAAGAGGGCCCCAAGAGGGCCCCAGAGAGCCCCGAGACTGCCCACAAGAAGCCCAAAATGCCACCAGAAGGCTCCCAAGAGAGACCCACGAAAGCCGTGGGAGACCCCTCAGAAGGCCATTGGTGGCGCCCGAGACTTAGAGGGCCCTAAATCTGAAGCCCTCTGGACGGCCCAACAAGGCCCCAGGATGGCCCAAGAGCGCCCTGGCACGGCCAAATAGAGCCCCAAAAACGTCCAGACGGCGTTCTCCTACGAAGTACATCGGGCTGACACGGCGATCTTGGTTCCACGCTTGAGGCTCGAGGTTTCAGTTCCTCGATCGAGAGAGACGTGCAATGGATCTAGATTCGAAGTTCGACGATCGAAGATTTCCTGCGTGTCTGGGGCCCTCCAGGCATTCAGGAAGCGACCACACATCGATTTGTTCGGAGCTACTGCGACTTTTTCGGCGTGTCGTAGCAACTCCCCTCACTTCCTCAAAGGACCTTCGCGCGTGAAAAAAATAATCATTCCTCCCCCACTCCTGCGCACAAGCGTGCAAGTGCATCGGGCGAACGCGGTCAGCAGGCACCAGGGATATAAGAAAAATCAGCCCGTCGCCCGTCCAGGCCTGGAGGTCCCCCTGCTGAAGCAAGCGATGCTTTATTTGTTGGCCGGGGAAGCTTCCTGAACAAGGCGCATGGCGCGAAGCGCCACTGCAGCCGTGTACATCTATACATATATATATATGTTTATATGTATATATATGTGTGTGTGCATGTATGTATGTATGTATGTATGTATGTATGTACGTACGTATGTATGAATATATATATATATATATATATTGTTCGCTCTCGTTTCCTCATCCTTCCCTCCCTCCCTCCCTCCCCTCCTCCGTTGTCATTTTCTTTATCCTCTGTCCGTTATTCCCCGCGATTTCTCGACGCAGTGTGCAGCAGCAGCCCGCCGCCGAAGAACCTACCCACCCCTCGTTTTCCTACTCCTCGTCCTCCTCCTGTTCCTCCTGCTCCTCCTCCTCTCCTCCTCCTACCGTGGGCCGGCCACGGCGGGCATGTCTGCGCGGCTTGTCATCGAGGATGTTTTCGCCGCGTGCATGGACCATTTATTCCGGACCGAAGTTGGCTTCATGTCGGGCAGTCATCAGCACTTCTTCTCCTCTTGGACGACAATCTGTTCCGCTTCGCACCCACCGTGGACAAAGTGGCTTGTATCATGGTAGTTGTGGAGACAGCCATTTGGAACGGACACCGCCTGTTCACGAAACCTGACAACCAGGAAATGATCTCAGCGAGCCACGTCGCGTTCGAGAGCTTCATCTTCCAGGACTATTTCGGGTCTCGTTGCGTAATCCAGCCGGATGTGAGGATCGTAAGGCCTTCGGTCAGTTACACGGGCTCATGCGGGGAATACGCGAAGGCTATGGTGCAAACTGTTGCTGCAATATGATCGGGGAACTCGTGTGTCCTGACCAGCAGCTTCGTTCTTATCTGTAGAAGGCTTCAGAAGCTTAGCGATGTTGCTGGAAACGTGATGCGAGCCAGGGCTGCGTCGTTGCCCCCATGCCAGTCCACAGAGATCGGTTTAGATAGAAGCCAGTCCAAGATTGTTGCGTGGATGCTTCGGTTCCGCTGCGAGCCGAACGAGACGAAGCAGCGCTTACGCAGGGACCGCGCTGTCAAGCAGCTGGCACGCGATGGTCTGAAATTCACCCGTGCGAGTTTGTCTTGGTTATCATTTCCCCAGCTTGCTGGGCAGCCAGAACGCCAAGCGAACAAAACCATGAGTGGATCAATTCGCAGAGGTGCGTCTGGGTGCTTGCAGCCAGTACGTCTTCGAAGACTTTTTGTCCATAAGATGGCGTGGCAGGGCCCACCGCCTGGACCAGTATGGCTGGACCCGCTGTTTACATCCCACGGGGACGCGGGACCCCACATTTATCTAGACATTTACCGTTTCCGACGGGCGCATCTTCCTTCTCTTCTCTTCCTCCTCCTCCTCCTCCTCGTCCGCCTCTTCCTTATCCTGTTTACCTTTTTAATTACCTTTCCTCCTGCTTCTTTTTTTTGTTTTTCTCATTATCATAACTTTCCTCCCCTGTTTCTCTCCTCGAGGGAGGAAAAAGGAGTAACCACCCCGCCAGTCGCCGATGCCAACATGTCCTCTAACTGCTCAGCCGGGTGCGTTCACCAAGCAACTAAGTCTTGTTCGATTCCCCCCGCTGGTGCGTTTGCCAGAGGGCTTGAGTCGATGGCATGAGTTGTTCCAGTGCGCTCCCGAACGCTCTCAGAGCGCTCCGACGCACTCTGGGACGGCCGCGGCTCCCGATACATCGTCCAGAGCCGCTGGATATCAGAGATCCCTTAGGTGTCCCAATTCGATTGTGTCTCCGTCTTGGCCTCGTCCTATTCGTGTGCAAGACAGGTCATCACGTTGGCGGTTGTTCCGATCTCCGTCCTTCGTTGCCGCCTACCCCCCCTTTCCCCTGCAATGCGCTGGCCCGCCTCCCCGTCCCCTTCATCCGAACTGTCCATCCTCGCCTCGTCCTTTCCCCCGTTTTTGTTCTGCCTTCTCCCGCCACGAGCACCCAGCACCCTGGGAAAACACTTGCCCAGCAAGTCTCGCGCCGCCTAAGTAGCCTGCGACCCAGCCTGTGTGTTGCTGGACATTGGCGCGCATGTCGCAAAACAAGCTGTTTAAAACCGTCCACCGCCGCCGTGGGGCTGCGAATGTGAGGGTGGGAAGTAGCAAGCCGTCAGCCAGGAACCTCGTCATTATTCGCCCGCCCTCTCCTCTCAGAGGCGACTTCCCCTTTCGATCCGGCGCTGGAGCACTAGCTAGTCTCTTTGGTTCAGGCCACCAAGCAGAGGGCACGGGGCAAATTACCAACGCCCCTCTTTCGGAGATGCCTGAGTCATATCCTGGAACTAACAGGGAGCGCAGGCAAGGACGCCTGGACCTAGCTAGATCGGGCGACTTCGTGCCTAGACATATTATACTGCTGATCGGTTGCGGCTACCGTCGGATTCCTATTTCGACTTCGATTGTCTGGGTCAGTTCGATCCCGTCGGCAGAGCCTGTGCTCTTCCATCCCTCCATGCACTGGCCGCTTTGGTTTGTCACCCGGTTGGTTTCAGGCAGCCTGGGGGATCGGATCCCACCTCCGCGTTGGAGCCCCCCAGGCCACAGCAATTGGCTTGCTGGTAGTACCTTCTGCGCTGCCAGAGCAGCCCCCCCCCCTGGCCGCCGCGTCGCTGCTGCTCTCGGCTCGAAGAGTTGTCAAGAACGGCGGCGGGCGCCGAGGACGTGTTCTCTGATGTTCCCTTTGTGTGCCCAACGGGTTGTAGCTTCCGCAGCACGTACGGAATCCTAGGGACCAGCTACCCGATGCAGGCCAGCACCACAGTTGACCTTAGTCGTCCCGATTGTCGATGGCCTCTTGTACAGCAGTTCAGGTCCATATTGGCACGTTTCCTTCCTCCAGGCACTCTGATGAGAGGTCTGGGATATATGTCCCAGACGCGGCTCAAACACATCTTAATGATGCTTGAGCAGGGGGGAGGGGAACAGTTTGGGAAAGGCTGATACAGTCTGATACGGTTCGAAGTCCTGGAAAGTGCCGAACACGCGAACATGATCAGAGTTTTCGGGAGCTTGTTGGATGTTTGGGGTCCTGATGAATATGATCCGTTCCCCGGGACATCTTGACCATCTAGAGGTACGTGTCGTGCGTGTGCGTGTGCGTGTGTGTGTGTGTGACATATCCGCATGTTTGGGGGGAATTCCATGCGTGGGAGCATTCCCCAAGCTCTTGCTGCCATTCATCGGGGCGCGGGTTCGGAGAGCTGCGAGAAGGTGGGGAATACGCCACGAAGTCAGCCACGCACTCACCATACAAGGCTTGGATGAGACGGGTGAGGAAAACGGAGCCCGCCACAAGTTTAACATGTACTTTGAACATGCAGACGGGCGAACACTTCAAGAGTCACGTGGGTCCCTCTGCATATCACGTTCTCCAGGTTTAGGTAATGCACGTTTCGGACAACATGTCTTCGCAGGAAAGAATCGTGCACGACCCTCGCTGCTTATCGCAGGCTTACTGTGCTGATGCTTGCCCCTCCAACCTCGCAGGACGTCTTTGGATTTGGTGGAGGATTCGACGCAGACGAGCCAGTCAACATTCGAGAAGTGCCGAAGGCATCCCTTCGATCATCTGTTCTGCTCTTCCATGGCCCGCTTGCAGGGGTGTGTACCCCAGCGTCACATCGGATACTTATTTCTACCAGGAAGCTGGATACGTACGACGCGGCCTGCCTGGGCGAGGGCTGGATAAGCATGTGGCCAGATGTCCTTCGAGCGCTCTTCACTTCCGTGGCCAGGCACGCCGGGCCTCCGCACGAGTATCCAGCGCGTGGCCTCCGGATGTCCCGCGCGTGAATTCAGCCACGCGTGCTTCCGGCTTCCTGGTGGACCTAGTTCTTTCTCAGGTTTTCGTGTGCGGAGCGCCAGGGTGCATTGCTCTTTCAGATCGTCATGTGCACCCCCCCCCTCCCCCTGTATGCGCGCGGCCTCGGCGGGTGCGGCGGCCCCAGCGTGGTTGGCCGCCCTCGCGTGTGCGGAGCCTCGCTGAGTGCCTCCCGTGCTCGTTCACCACTTGAGGCGTACCAGAAAGGACCTCGCCTACGAGGACCGAGTGAGTTGACAGCTCCTCCTCCGCGAAAGCCAGCGGAAGTAAGACGAGAGCGGTTCCTCTGCCGGACGCCTGCAGAAGGCCGGAAGCCGGCACATGTGAAAGTTGCGCCCCCAAGGACCGAAAGGTTGCGTTCGAGTTTTTGTTGTTGATGCGTCTAAGTGGGCACATCTGGCACGTCTCTTTTTAACCCCGAGCCTTGCCTTGTGTTGTTAGTCGCGAGCCTGAATCGTTAAGCAGCTGCGGCATGTGAAGTATTATGTGTATATATACACAAGGCTGCAGTGGCGCTTCGCGCCATGCACCTTGGTCCTTCGAGTTTCGCACGCGGGCGGTCTGCGTGCGCGTGCACATGTGCGCGCGGATATGTGCATGCATGTCATATGCGCGCACGTTCATGCATGCCATACATATGTAAACAGTTATGCGTAAACATATCCACACGTGTGTGGGTAGATTGATGCACGTATACACAAGTGTCTAGATACGTGTATGTATATGTTCATGCTTGCGCAATCGTATGTATCATGTCTCTTTGGGCAGATCAACGTGTACTCATATGCATGCCTATATGCATGTACTCGGTCGTGGCCACAGAAGGGGGGGGCAGAAACGCAGTGAAGGGCTCGCGAGTTGCGAAAGACTTTGGTAGGAGACGACATGAAGGACACGGCAGAATGTAGAATGGCGACCTGGGCTTACCAATGACCGTGTCTTTGGGACTGTGGAAGGAGCCTTGTGAGGGCCTTTGGGGGCCTCGGGACCGTGTCGCAGCGGGGCTCGACGCTGAAGTTGTTTTGCGCCGCTTTACGCTCATTGGAGGCCTCGCGTTCAGAGTGTTAACGTCACGTGGACCTCATTGGAGCCTCCAGCAGCCTTTTAAGCGCCTGTGTGGGACGTGGTGCAGTCCTGTTAGGGCTTGGGCCCGTCTTGGGGCGCGTATTAGCTCTGCTGGGCTGTCTTGGGATCATGTTCGGGCTCCTGGCCCGTGTTGGGCCTGTCTTGGGGGCGTTTTCGAACTTCTGTGGGTCCTTGCGGGATATTTGGGGACTCTTGGGGGCTTCTCTGGCTTCCTGAGGACCTCTTGGGGGCCTCTTGGTGGCCTCTTGGGGCCTCTTCGGGGCCTCTTGGGAACCTCCTGGGGCCTCCTGGGGCCCTGTCGGGAATGTCTGGGGGCTCTCTTGGGCCGGTTTGGGGCCCTCTTGGAGGTCTGTCGAGCCATCTTAGGGCGATCCTGGGGGCCTCGTGGGCCGTCTTGGAGCATCGGGAAGCCGAAAAGGGAGAATTCAACAATCCCCCACAAACCAACGAAAAATCAATGAATTTTGCTTCGTGGGGCCTTCTTGGGACTGCTACGAGGCCCATTGGGACGTTTTGGAGCGATCTCGAACTTCTGTGGGGTCCTTGCGGGGTCTTTTGGGACACTTGGAAACCTTTTGGGACTTCCTGGGGGCCTCTTCGGGGCCTCTTGGGAGCCTCTTCGGGGCCTCCCTCTTCGGGGCCTCTTGGGGGCCTCCTGGGGTCTGCTGGGGCCCTGTCGGGACTGTCTCGGGGCCCTCTTGGGCTGGTTTGGGGCCCTCTTGGAGGTCTGTCCGTCCATCTTAGGGCGATCTTGGGGGCCTCGTGGGCCGTCGTGGAGCGTCGGGAAGCCGAAAATGGGAGAAGCCCAAATCCTCTGCAAGCCACCTGAAAAGCAGTGAATCTTGCCTCTTGAGGCTCTTTTGGGAGTACTCTGGGAGGCCTCTTGGGACATTTTGGAGCGATCTTTGGGGGTCTGACGGTTCCTTTGGGGTCGTTGTCGACCGTCTTGCGGCTCTCTGGAGTCGTTTCGGGAGCGCGCTGGAACGTCGGGTGACTTCCTGGGGCCGTCTTCGGGCTCTCGTGAGATCCTCCCAGGTCGTCTGGGGCGCTGCCCGAAAGGCCCGGGGTTGGCCAAATTCCTTAAGGAGGGGGCGCTTTTTCCGGGGTCCCTGGCCTTATAAAAATACATGGATCGGAATGTATAGTTGTGTGTATATCGGATTGTGATGGCGCGCAGTGCGAAGTACATTTGAGGAGCTATTCTGGAAATTGACGATGGGCCCATCGGACATTTCAGTTGAGGCGTCCCGGTGAAAGGACTACACATGCGCCTTGCATCACGAGTGTGTTGTCCATGCGTATCGCTTCCTCTTAAAGATCCACCCTCTCCTTGTTACTGTTCCACGCCAAGCGCCCGCCGTATTCTCTCACAGACCTCCTTTCTCCTGATCCTCATCGCTGCGCTTCCTCCTCCTCATCCGCCATATAGTTATGTTCCCTTCAACTGTGTATTCTTCTGCTCGCACCGTTTTCTCCACCCTCCCCATTCCACAAGGAGTCTTGGAGTTGATTCACTTGTCTGAGGCCCTTTGCCTTGTCGCGGTGCCCCCATTGCCCACACCAGAATGGGCACGGCGGTCCTTCCATCAAGCGCTAGTTACCAAACGTGTCTTGGTGCTTAGGCTCGCTCTGCATGCGAGGCTCAACTTTCCAGGGCTGGGCGCGCGTCAGCGACTGGGGGGAACACGCTCGTGCGTGTGGCGCGCGCAGGTTGTCCCACACGTCAAGGTCATGGTGCCATCCTGACTGTGCGGCACGGGGCTGGGGCGGGGGCGCAAACGTGATCGCGCAGACCCCCACGGACGACAAGTATACAGATCCACCTCGCTTCTTCCCCCCCCGCCAGAAAAGAGGAAAACGGTGAGAAGAAGCCGAGGGGGAGGGAAGAGAAAGGAAGTGGACCTGTATATGTGAGCGTTCTGTTTCCAATCATTCGCATTCCTTTGGTAGCACATCCTGGGAGCTTCGTGTACCCTCCGAATTCTGTCTTTAGAATACACTCGCGTCAACTAGCGGCTGGTCATCGATGAGATCGTGCCGATGTCGCGTCGGTTAGCGTCGATTCCGCGTCGATTCGCGTCGATGTAGCGTCGAGGTGCGTCGATTTAGCGTCGACTGGCGCCGACGAGCGTCGATGCGCGAGGGCCGACGAGATGGTCCGGGAGGCCCCCGGGCGCTGCCGCAGCGCGTCCCGAGGCGACGTGCGAAGACTGGCGCGCAGCCCCTCCCCGCGCTGGGCGGGCTCGGCTCGGCCAGCAGAGGTGCCGCTCTCGCGCGGCAGGCTCGCTCTCTCTCCCGTGCCTCCCTCTCGGGCGCACTGCCCAGGCCCCCATGGCGCCCTGATGTTCTCGGCACGGTCGGAGGCGTCCAGGGAGGGGCGGGGAGGACTGCAGCCCTCCTCGAAATCAAACGCAAGTTTTTAGTGTCGATCGGCGCGCGAAACACGGCCCGCGGGACCAGATGTTTGTGTTTACGGTCGCCAGTTTCGGCGTGTGTATCGAAAGTTTGGGGCCCTGGGGCGCTGCCACGTCGCGGGAAAAAACTTGCGCTTGAGTCGTGGCCCACTTTTTTCTTTCAAGACGGGCCCCCCTCCCCCCCTCACCCCGTCGGCGCACTTTTCCTAGGGCCGTGATGCTATTCTAGCCCACCCGTCTTCCCGGCCCCGTCTTCGGCACACCCGATACGGGCCCCTAAGACTTCTGGACCCCTCCCCCGCTTTGGTTTTTCACCCCAGATCGGTCTCTTGATCGCCCCGGTTCCGACAAACAGAGTGCCGTCAGAGGCCAGAGACACAGAAACGTGCCCGTCTTTCAGAGGAGGGCGAGTTGAGATAACGGTAGCTGGCCTGCGGGGGGCCCCTCGTCGCCACGGCTGGCGCAGCTTGGAGACTTGGTGCGTTTGGACCCCGGGGTGTCTGGGGATCGATTTTGAGCTGCCGTTTCCTAAACTCGCTCTCTTCCGAGTCTGGGTTCCTTTGCTCGGCGGCGAGCGAAGGGGGGAAACGGGAAGGAGAAGGCATTCTCGGAAGGCGGCGGGACTTCTCAGAAGCCCTCGCGCCTTCTGAGAAGTGCTTTCTGTCTTCGGGGAAGGCTTAGAAAGCTTCTGAAAAGGTCGGGGGACCTCCGAATCTTCTGAGAATGCCTTCTCCTTCTCACTTCCCCCCCCTCGCTCGCCGCCGATTTGCTCCTGCGGCGCTGGAGGCCACGTGCGCCCGCGCTGGAGGGCGATGGGGGCACGCTCGGCCCGGCGCGGGCTCGGTCCAGGCCAGGTCAGCGTGCCGCGCGGCACGGCCCGAGCAGGGCGAGCGTGCTGGGAGGGCCACCGGGCACCTCGTGTCGGGCGTGGCGTAGTTCAGTGGGGGCGGTGCACGAGGCGTTCCAGAAGGCCTCGCCTTTGAGGGCCGAAGGAGTTGCCATCTCTTCCTCGGCGGAAGGCGGCGGAAGTGAAACGAGGCCGCCTCCGCCGGCGGAAGCTCCGGAAGGCGGCGGAACCAAAGGTCGGCCTCCCATAGACAAGATTTGGTCCTCGTTTTGAAGAGACAACGTCCCGCGTCTCCTTCCAACCCGCTGCCCCCTCCTCCCCATCCTCCCATCCCTGCCTCTGCCCTCCGCACCCAATACAGCGTTCCGTGGCCCCATAGGGAACT